GACTTGTTACTAACCTACCCGACCCGTTCCTAACCCAATTCGAATTTAACCCAACCTGTTATAAACCTGACCCGAAATCAACCCGACTTGTTATTAACCTGACCCATATTCAACCCGACTTGTTATTGACCCGACCCGAATTTTACCAGATCTATTACTAATTCGACCAAAATATTCAACCCGGTCTGTTACTAACCCGACTCAAAATCAACACGACTTGTTATTGACCCGACCTAAATTCAACCCAAATTGTTCCTGACCCGATTTCAAATCACCTTAAATGCAATTTAGACCACCTCATTATTGTTGATCAAAGCATTTTGTCTAGGGAGACCAAGGCAGTCCAGGCTAGCAAAAGAAAGGAGCATCATCCTCAAATTTAAGAGTTAAATATAGTATATATTTGTCGTATGGTCAAAGGAGATAATTATCATCATAAATTATAGACTATAGTTCCCTATTGTATTGCCATATATATTATAGTCAAAGGAAATAATTAGCTTGATAAAGTGATGATTATCTATTTATAATTAGTTGAACCTGAATATGACCTCACTTGGAAATCACCCGATCTGATTGTAACCAGCAAATTATTAACTTAAACATAACCGACTTGAATCTGAGATCGACCCGACTTGGAAATGACCTAACCTGATAATAACCCGCAAATTAATGACTTGAACCCGAGAATGTCCCGACTTGAAAATAACTTGACCTTATTATTACCTAAACCCGATAAGAAGTATGACCCGACGTGACCCGACTCAAGCATGACCCAACCCAAACCCGACCCGCATAGGTTATGGAATTAATCCAAATTGACCTGACCCACTCTTACCAACCTAAACCCGACCCGTTTACCCGAATTGACAGCTCTACCTGAAACCTCCAAAATTTCTTAAAAAGTATGGATATTGGCCTTCAATTTTGGAATTTTTATTATTTTTTTTGCCAAAATGTTTACCATGGTCCCTAATACCCTCCAGGAATTCAATTGGCTGGGTGGAACCATCCAATTTGCCTTTAAATGACCAATTTACTGGTTTACAACTTGCACTGATTTCATTAATTCAAACCTACCACGAACATTTATGACAATATATAATGATCATATATGGTTCCAAACGGTATTATATGACACCGAGATGCATCCCCTAAAATCTCATTGCTTTTCGACATCGGGCGCCGAAACCTTTGAAATTCCTAAAAAGTCGTGGATATTAGCCTTCTATTTTGGAAATTTTTGACTTTTTTCGCCCGGAAATAAAAATTTCCGAAATGTTTACCATGATCCCTAATACCCTTCCGGAGTCCAATTGGGTGGATGGAACCATCCGATTTGCCTTTAAACGACCAATTTACCAATTACAACTTTGCACCGATTTTCATTAACTCAAGCCTACCACGAACATTTATGACAACATATAATGATCATATATGGTTCCAAACGGCATTATATGACCCCAAGATGTATTCTCTAAAATCTCAAGGCTTTCGACACAGACCCCGAAACCTCAAAAATTTCTCAAAAAGCGTGGATATACCTTCAATTTTGGGATTTTTTGACTTTTTTTTCGGCCGGATATAAAAATTGCCGAAATGTTTACCATGGTCCCTAATATTTTCCGGGAGTCCAATTGGACCATCCATTTTGCCTTTAAACGGCCAATTTATCGATTTACAACTTGCACCGATTTCATTAACTCAAGCATACCACGATTTATGAAAACAAATAATGATTACATATGGTTCCAAACGACATTATATGACTCTGAGATGTATTCCCTTGAATTTCAAGATTTTTACCGGGCCCCGAATACTCCAAAATTTCTCAAATAGGTGCCTTCAATTTTTTAATTTTTTTACTTTTTTCACCCGGAATAAAAATTACCGAAATGTTTATCATGGTCCCTAATACTCTCCGAGAGTCCAATTAGGTGGGTAGAACCATCCAATTCGCCTTTAAACGGCCAATTTACCGGTTTAGAACTTGCACCGATTTCATTAACTCAAGCCTACCATGAACATTTATGACAACATATAATGATTATATATGATTCCAAACAGCATTATATGACCCCAAGATAAAACCCTTAAATTTTCAAGGCAAATATTTTGATACTCAGCAATCCATCATAATAGATACTCCTTATGTTCCTATTTATTTGCCCCGTTTTTCATTTATGAATACCCCTTGAAGATTGCCCCATACCTTAGATGTCGATAAGGACCGCCACTTTTACTCTAAAAAAAACCCATTTTTTTCATAAAAAATAAACATAGGTCAAACAATTAGAGACAGTGGACTAAATCACTAAACCATAAGAGTTAACCATATGGGCCTATCCGGTGCTGGACTGCTGGTTCAGTAGAGGAATTTTGTCGAAACAAAATTAAAAACAAAACATAAAAGAGCGGGCAAATGACCACCATTTGTCCATTTCAGTTCATCAAGCAACAGCCCCAACACCTACGTTGGCAAATGGCAACCTACAATGGCTGTCAACGTTGCAGGAGATTGAGGGTACACGCGGTAGTGCGGCACCATGACTGTCTGCCTGTCTCTGAAGATGACGAAGTAAACATTCCATCCATTCATGGGTAAATTTTCATGATGGGGTTTTCAATTAAAGACAATTTATCATTCCATTTCTCATAATTTTATGCAGTAGCTTTAGTTGGTTTGTATTTCCAAGATTTTGAAGTAATTTGTCAGTATTTTACTTGTATTATTGTTTAGTTATTGTGTTTATGATGTTTGATTGTTTGGTATGGTGATGCTGAAATTGAAACCCCCATCTGTTTTTTTTTTTTCATGGGTTTATAATAGATTGATTTGAACTGTTGATGGTTCATTAGGGTATAATTAGAAAAGTTAGGGGTTGTTAATGATTTCGGCTTATTTCTTGATAATTTGATTATCATTATGAATTTAAGAGTAGGATATAGTACTAATTATATTATGGAAAATGTTATACATCGCCCTTAGGGCTACATATAAGCATTAAGTTTACAATTTAAAATCGTAAAAAGTTAAGAAATCATCAAAATATAAACACTAATAACACTGATTTACGTGTGTTTTTGTCATGAATTCCTAATTTTATACATTTTCCAAGAGTAAATTTAATGCTTATATATAGCCCTTAGGGTTACATATAACATTATCCTTATATTATTTAAACTAATTGGGCTGCTGATAGTTCTTTATGTTGTACCGAGGATTGGGTTTGGTGGTGATTATGTTATAATTATTTAATCCCATGATAATGCATATTCTATTATACACTTGGGTGGACCTAAAGAACGTACCCAAGGTAGTGCGTGTGACTATAACTCGTACATGGCCTCCACTTGTGGGCGTGAATACACATTCCCTTGGTGTACATGTTATGTTTATCAACTGTCAATATTCAAAGTCATTGTATTTTAGTGACATCGTATATGTGTGTATGCATTGGGACTATTAGCAGAAGGTGTTAAGTTGTATGCATTGGGACTATTAGAATAATCTTGAGCTGTGAGTCATGGAAGGAAACTAGTAAATGCAAACAACTTATTTTAGGAATGTACATCGTGGGAAAGAAGGAATAGTGTTACGATTGCTAAACAATTTGGGAGTGGAAGGACAGATTGGTAAGTTGCCTTGTCATTTCAAATTAGAAGATGATGTTAAAAAACTGTAAACTAGTTAACTACTTTTCATAGTTTATTGAGTGCCTTATATCGCTTACATGTGAGTCATTTAGCCATACTTGGTAAGATCCTTAGAACTTAATACCTATCTTTTAGGGGGATAGATAGAATGAATTACATCAGTAGACGCAGTACGCGAAAATGATTGATCAATCATGTATTGCCAAACTTTGGATACTTCCACACTGTCCCACAATTTCACTACCGTGTTGATTGCTGGAAGGGGTCTTCCACTTCTAAGATGACTTAGAGCAAGATTTTCTGACCATTTATAATATAACTAATAAAGTTTTTTTTTGCCTTTCTACATATTCTTATGTAGAACTCCTTCCGTTTTTAAATACTTGCTCTATTTCTCCATGCGTGGAGTTTTAGGAGAAATTAGAGAAAGTAATAAAATATGAAGGTAGTGGGGTGGGTGAAAGAATAAAAAATTGTATAAAGTAAAAGTAGTGGAGAGAATTGGAGGAGAAAGAATATAAAATTAATAAAATATGATTTAAGTTGGGTCCATTAGGTGAGAGAAATTAATTAAATATTGCAAAATCTTTCCAAATAAGGAATGAAGCAAATATCTAAAAACGGCCGAAAAAGAAAAGTGGAGCAAGTATTTAAAAACGGAGGGAGTTTAATATAAGTAGAAATAATTTCACTGTCGAATAGTGTATTAAATTATTTCATTAAGTCTGTTTTTTCTTAGCAAACAAAAACTTAAATTATGAAGAAACACTACAATTTTGGGACCAAAGCAAAATGAGGAAAAAACAGTAGAAAGACTAGAAACTCACATTGACATGTCATATAATGGATTAGTTGGAAAATTCAAAGACATCAAAATCATGTTGAACTAATTTATGGGGTGAAGTGGCGTGAACAAAATGGCTATAGTAGTTCTTTTAATAGTCAATAAGTATCTGGAAATCTAAGGAAACTTGAGGCACATAATATTTCTATATTCCTATATTCCTATCCTATAATAATACTCTGTTTATTCTATATTATTTGTCACATAAGATATCAATGCACGAAGTATTTGTATATTAAAAAACCAATGCATTATTATTTCTCAATATAAAATTTTAATATAAATCGTATGATCAATTACTTCTATTCTGTAATAACTTCATATGCAAAGGGAGTGACTAGTAGAGCATAGTAGTACTTAGATGATCTGGTTATTATTCAAGGATAGTTAGAATATTAAAAAAAAAGTTGTCACATTTACTAAATTATAAACCAATATCCTTATTAAATTGAATTATAAAGAGCGTAGGATATTTTGTTATTAGTAGAATGTCATATCTTTAATTATGAGAGTTAAAAAAAAACTCGGACCATTATTTTGGGATGGTTGGACTACGCTATCAGCTTTATAGATTTGTTCCCACTTGAACCTGTTTGGTCCCACCCTTTTCTTCTCTGCTGCTAGTTTTCATAATTGACAAGTAATCATTCTCGTCCTATATATATTCTACAATGTGAAAATAGGAATTTTTAGGTACATAAGTTTGGCACCTATGTAGTCTGGCTTCAAGTTGAAAGACCAAGTCCTAGTTCTAGTCTAGCTTGTCCACTCCTCTGAGGCTCTGAGAATGGTTTTGTTCCTTTCTTTGCGTTCAGTTCCTATTTACCATTCTATATATGACATTCTAGCATGCAACATTTCATGATAAATAAAGCCATGAATTTCTGTATATAAAGTGTATACTAGAATTTGCCATTTTTATGTCCATGAAACACATTTCCATTAGAAATATGGTTTCCTGTTTCTTTCTAGCCTTCTGCTTTTTCTTAGCCATTCCACTGTCAAATGGTGATAATACAAGCTATGACGCGTGCTCTAAGCTATACTCATGCGGGAAGATAAAAAATATAGGGTATCCGTTCTGGGGAGGTGATAGGCCCATCTTCTGTGGGATGCCGGACTTCAAGCTCACTTGTCATAATGAGACTAATGCCAATGACAGGTATTCTACTATGAACGTTTTACATAACGCATACATTGGATTAAGAGTGCTTGGCATTGATCCATCTTCCCACACCATGACTTTTTCTGAAAGTACCCTGCTTGAACGTTGTTATTTGCGGGATACAAGTGCAATAGCCTTGCTTCCCACTTTGAAGCCTGACGGCAGTTATTGGAATATAAGTTTATCCTATGGTTGTGCCAATGTCTCTAGTTATCACAGCAAGTCTTTTTACTGCTCCAAGGACGATGGTTCAAAAGGTCTTGCTTATTGGTTTGATGAATCATCAAACAAAAGTAGGATAGGTAAGCTGTGTCCGTGCAATAACACTGTCAAGTTTCTGGTGGATAAGAGAGGGTTAGATGAGCTCAGAAGCACAAAAGCTTCACTTCTGAATATCTTAGAGAAGGTGCAAATTAATACGACATACTTGGTGAACCTCATAGCCTGTTCCAACTGTGAGAAGTCTGGTGGCAGATGCGGATCATCAGAGGAATTGTCTTCAGATCAGTTTTTGTGCCATTGTCGGGACAAATCCCATCCACTAGTGTGCTCTGAACCAACTCCAAGTAGTCCTCAAAACATCTCCCACCGTAAGAAACATGGTATTTTAGCTTCTTGTTGTAGAGTTCTACTTATTTTGCAGTTTCATGAAGTTATTTCTTTTCTTCTTATATTTTTGTTGGTTGTCTCGTGATTATTATAGCAAATAGTATCCAATTTGCATAGAGCTATATCAATATTAAAGGTTGTGACAGAATACAAAATCCAATATTGGGGCTTCAACCATAAGTACTGTTTTAACAGCAATAAGCATATTCATGCTGAAAAACTGACAATTCTTTATCTTTACAGTAAAGGAAAAGTTGGGACTGATTCTGGGACTGGGTAAGTTTAATTTTCTCATTTATCCAAGTCCCTATTGTTGAATAATAGCATTACATTTTAAAAATTTAGTTTAACTGGCCTGCAAATTAGTTCTCACATGACCTCGATTGATATCAGGCATTGGAGGAGCTTTGCTTGTGTTCATAGCAATTATAGGCTTCTGGCACCGTAAGAAGCTCAAATGTGTAACCCAGAGCGCTTCCCTTGACTGTAGTGCATCAGAACTTGAAAAGGGAAGCATATACTTTGGTGTATCACTCTTCTCTTACAATGAGCTTGTAGAAGCCACTGCTAATTTTGATCAATCTAAAGAACTTGGCCGTGGTGGCTTTGGAATAGTTTATTGTGGTAAGCTTGACCTTTTATCTCTTCAATCCTAAATAAGACATCTCCAAACTCAAATCAACTAATCAAAAGTTTTGCATTTTAGGGAAACTAAAAGACGGGAGGGAAGTTGCTGTAAAACGCCTTTATGAGAAGAGCTACAAAAGGCTGGAGCAGTTTATGAACGAAATTCAAGTACTGACCCTTTTGAGACACCAAAACCTTGTGTCACTTTATGGCTGCACTTCCCAGCATTGCAGAGAACTACTACTTGTTTACGAGTATGTGAAAAATGGCACAGTAGCTGATCACCTGTATGGTAGAAACACAAAATCAGGATATCTTCCATGGCCTGTTCGGCTGAGAATTGGAATAGAAACAGCCACTGCGCTCTCTTACCTCCATGCTTCTGATATCATACACCGTGATGTCAAAACTAACAACATTCTCCTTGACTGCAACTTCAGTGTCAAAGTTGCTGATTTCGGGCTTTGTAGACTCTTTCCAACCGATGTAACTCATGTGTCAACTGCTCCACAGGGGACTCCTGGGTATCTTGACCCTGCGTATCACCAGTGTTATAAGCTGACAGATAAAAGCGATGTTTACAGCTTTGGAGTAGTCCTCATTGAGCTCATTTCCTCTTTGCCTGCAATAGACATGGATAGGCCTGAACATGAGATAAACTTGTTCAACTATGCAATGAACAGGATTCAACATTGTGCATTTGACGAGTTAGTGGACCCACAACTTGGGTTTGCACTAGATTTCAAGGTTAGGAGAATGACTGTATCGGTGGCAGAGCTTGCGTTCCAGTGCCTGCAACATGACAAGGAACTCAGGCCGTCAATGGACGAGGTTTTAGAGGTTCTCAAGAGTATTGAAGGCGCTGATTATGAAGCACTGCAGGCAGAAGAAATGGCAAATTATGTTGGGTTCGTGGATGATAAAGCATCACCGGCTGAAGAGATGGCTGATGATACTAATGTTGAAGTTTGTGAAGCGTCGAAAGCAGAAGAGAAGGCTAAGATTGTTGCTCAGAATAGTGATCCAGGACCTACAGCCATGGAGGATGATTATGCACAACTGTTAAACAATAATCATCGGGCATATTCATCTTCCCCGATTTCTGTTATGGTTAAATGGGTTGGTAGTTCCACTACATCTAGCTCCAGCAAGTAAGCTGAACATTTTGATTCCTTTCCTCCTTATATATCAAGCTACTACATGATGGTTGTAAATTGATGGATTTGTTTCTATGCAACTCTGGTAGTCCGGTGTACTATATGGTACGAAGTATATACAAACATGTTGTACAGATCGAGCCTATTTTGTTTCTGTTTTACTTGAATTACATAGAATTTGATTCAATTTTTCAAGTTATATTAACTTAAATACATATTATCCCATCCGTCTCCAAATAAAAGTTTCGTTACTTAAAATTCTACATTTTTTTTTCATATTCACCTTTAATCAACCAAACTCAACTATCTTATTTTCATATTCGCGTTTAACCAATAAAAATTCATATTTGGTTAATCAGTCAAACCTCAATTAGTCATGTAACCTCAATCAAAACACTCGTCAAATTCATCAGTCACATAATATTTTGTTTGAGTTCGGTTCGAGTCGGGTTAATTCACACACTAGTTCATTCGGGTTTGTATAATATGGATTTCCAGCTCTATCAATTTGAAAAGGAAACAATAAAAAGACAGGGCTTGAAACATAACAATAAAAAGTCCAGTCTCACTCTCTACCTTCACACTATCTCAGCCGCCGTCGGTCAGTCGGCCGGAGCCACCGTCCGGAGCCGGAGATTGTAGTTTCTCTGTCTTCAAAGGGGGTTCTATGATTATGTTCCCAAGAACCTATTTCAGGGGATACTTCACAAGAATAGCCAATTCTACAGCTGATTTGCTCGAATCTCCACTTATAAAAACGCAAATTAATCCATTAATACAGTCAAACAAGATCCCAGATGTGTTAGAATGTAATTTTCAGATTAAAGAGTTTGTGAAAACTGGTCGTTTGGAAGATGCACGCAAACTGTTCGATGAAATGCCGCAAAGAGATGTGGTTTCTTGGACCAATGTGATATCTGGGTATGTCAATGCATCGAACTATGACGAGGGTTTGAATTTGTTTTCAAGAATGTGTGTTGACCCGTGTATTAGAGTGGACCCCTTTGTACTTAGTTTGGCTCTGAAAGCTTGTGGACTTAATAATAGTTTAACTAATGGGAGATTGTTGCATGGTGCTTGTGTTAAGAATGGTCTTGTTAATTCTGTGTTTGTGGGGAGTTCACTTTTGGACATGTATGCTAAGTCTGGCTACATTTCGGAGAGTTGTCTAGTTTTCGAGCAGATGCCGGAGAAGAATGTAGTTTCATGGACTGCTATTATAACAGGACTGGTTAAGGCTGGTTATTGTAAGGAAGGGTTGCTGTATTTTTCTGAAATGTGGCGCTCTGGTTTGCACTGTGATGCATATAGTTTTGCCATTGCATTGAAGGCTTGTGCTGATATATGTGATCTGGAACATGGCAAGGAAATCCATACACAAGCATTAAAGAAGGGTTTTGATTTAGGCTCTTATGTGGTGAATACTCTTGCTACAATGTACAATAAATGTGGGAAGTTGGATTATGGTATGTGTTTGTTTGGAAGAATGACTATCCCTGATGTGGTTGGATGGACTTCACTCATTACTTCCTATGTTCAGATGGGTAAAGAAGAGATTGCTGTTCAACAGTTTAAGCGATTGAGAGATTCCGAGGTGAGGCCTAATGAATACACATTTGCTGCAGTTATTACTGCTTGTGCCCATCTTGGTAGAATTAATTGGGGTGAACAATTACATGCTCATGTCATGAGAGCTGGTTCCTTAAATGCTCTATCGGTTGCAAATTCAGTCATGACATTGTATTCGAGATGTGGTCAGTTAAAATCAGCATCTTTGGTTTTTGATTGTATGACTAGCAAAGATATTGTTTCATGGAGCAGCATAATTACAGGATATTCTCAAGCTGGATATGGCAAGGAAGCGTTTGATTATTTCTCATGGATGAGAAGGGAAGGGCCAAAACCTACAGAATTTGCTTTTGCTAGTATGTTGAGCGTGTCTGGTAGTATGGCAATACTTGAGCAAGGTAGACAAGTACATGCTCATGTATTGAAAGTTGGATTAAAACATACATCTTTGATACAAAGTGCGCTGATTACTATGTATTCCAAATGTGGAAGCATAAAGGACGCCTCAGAGATATACAATGGAACGAGCAAGGATGATGTTGTGTCGTGGACTTCCATGGTAAATGGATTTGCTGAACATGGTGACAGTCTAGAAGCTTTAGATTTGTTTGATAAAATGCTGCTAGCTGGTTTGAGGCCAGATGCTGTGACATACATTGGAGTTCTTTCTGCTTGTAGCCATGCAGGACTTGTGGATCTGGGTTATTCCTATTTTAATTCTATGAGCCAGAAGTTTCAGATAAGTCCCTGTAAAGAACATTATGGCTGCATGGTTGACCTCTTATGCAGAGCTGGAAGGCTAACAGAAGCTGAGAACATGATAAATACCATGTCATATGAAGTAGATGATGTTATCTGGTCGACCTTTCTGAGAGCATGTAAAATTCATGGTGATGTTGAGCGTGCCAGACATGCTGCCGAAAGGATTCTTGAACACAATCCCAATTGTGCTGGGACACTTACTACTTTAGCTAACATTTACTCTGCAAAGGGAAGGTGGAGAGAGGCAGCGGATATCAGAAAGCTGATGAGATCTAAAGGGGTAGTGAAAGATGCAGGATCATCATGGATTAAGGTTAAAGATGAGGTCTCTACATTTGTTTCTGGGGATAAATCACATCCAGGTGGTGATCATATTTACAATATCCTGGATTTGCTGATGTCTGGTGTAGATGTACTTGATAAGGAGGATGATTCCCTTCTGCAAGCCACATAAATTTAAAAGGGAGTTCATCTTGGTTTGATCACTTGAAAAATTCCAATTGAGAACATGAGATGCATGTTCTTGTAGACTTGCAGTCACTCTTGGGTCATGACAAGGTTCCTCGAGAGTCGAGGCACAAGCACATCATAGTTGAATAACTCACTGTTAAATCAGGGGTCTGTGTGCAGGGTGTGGGATTGGAAGCAATTCTAATCATATTGTCTGGCCAAGAAAGAGATGTTTGGAAGATTTATGTCATTCCAGAACAGCAGTACGGCACTGACAATTGGTAATACTGTATTTATTTTACTGTTCCGTGAAAACTATGATTTGTGATTCTTTTGAAGTTGACATGCATCTTTTCTGCACTAGGATTTTCAGCCAGTTTCCAAGCATACCTGTACAAGAGTTGGAAGTCCTGAAGACGTGTGCAACCCATGCCCCTTTGCTTCCCAATTTTTCTCTGCCAGCTTTATTCTT